CTCCCCCACCCCTCCCCTACCCACCTCCCACCCCTCCCCACCCCTCCCCACCCCTCCCCTCCCCTACCCACCCTCTCCCCCCACCCCTCCCTCCCCACCTCCCTCCCCTACCACCCCTCCCCACCCCTCCCCTCCCCTACCCACCTTCTCCCCCACCCCTCCCCTCCCCTTCCCCTCTCTCCCCTCCCCACCCCCTCCCCTCCCCTACCCACCTCCCCTCCCCCTACCCCACCCCTCCCCACCCCCTCCCCTCCCCTACCCCACCCCTCTCCCCTACCCCACCCCTCCCCTCCCCTCAGGTCCCCAGCCCACCCTCTACCCTCCCCTACCCTCCCATCCCTCCCTCCTCCTCCCACCCCTCCCCACCCCTCCCTCATCCTCTACCTCCCCTTCCCACCCTCCTACCCCTCCCCTACCCTCCCATCCCCCTCTACCCTCCTCCCCTCCCCTCCCTCCCCTCCCTCCTGTACCCACCCTCCCTTCCCTCCTCTTCTCTCCCCTCCCCACCCCTCCTACCCACCCCCTCCTTCCCACCCTCTACCCTCCCCTACCCACCCCTCCCCTACCCTCCTCCCCTCCCCACCCCTCCTCCCACCCCTCCCCTGCCCTCCCTCCCTCCCCTCCCCTCCCCTCCCCTCCCCTCCCCCCTACCCCCTCCCCTACCCACCTCCCCCTTCCTTTCTGGTTACTGTGGGGCTCAGAACACTTTGGAGGCCATCTTGGACTGTCTTAAATCTTCCGTATTGGGTTTGACTTACGAACCTTTAAGAAGGTTAGGTTGGGATTATGTTGGGGTTAGGTTGGGATTGGGTTGGGTTAGGTTGGTTATGTTGGGTTAGGTTATGTTGGTTGGGTTGGGGTTACGTTGGATTACGTTTGGTTGGGTTGGGTTGGGTTCGTTTTGGTGGGTTCGGTTGGTTGGGTTATGTTGGGTTGGGATGGTTACGTTAGGTTACGTTTGGTTAGGTTACGTTGGGTTACGTTGGGTTACGTTAGGTTACGTTAGGTTAGGTTGGTTGGGTTGGATAGGTTAGGTTATTTGGGTTTGGTTGGGTTTGTTAGGTTAGGTTGGTTGGGTTATTGTTTGTTTGGGTTGGTTCGTTGGTTGGGTTGGGTTACGTTGGGTTGGGTTGGTTGGTAGTTGGTTACGTTGGGTTGCGTTTGGTTAGGTTGGGTTGGGTTAGGTTGGGTTATGTTGGGTTACGTTGGGTTACGTTGGGTTTGGTTCGTTGGTTACGTTGAGTTACGTTTGGTTAGGTTAGGTTGGGTTGGGTTATGTTGATTACGTTGGGTTACGTTTGGTTAGGTTGGGTTATGTTGGGTTAGGATAGGTTAGGTTGAGTTACGTTTGGTTAGGTTAGGTTAGGTTATGTTGGGTTAGGTTAGGTTAGGTTATGTTGGGTTAGGTTACGTTTGGTTGGGTTAGGTTGGGTTGGGTTACGTTAGGTTACGTTAGTTGCGTTTGGTTACGTTTGGTTGGGTTAGGTTAGGTTATGTTGGGTTGGTAGGTTAGGTTAGGTTAGTTTGGTTGGGTTGGTTGTTATGTTGGGTTAGGTGGTTGGTTATGTTGGGTTGGGTTACGTTTGGTTAGGTTATGTTGGGTTGGGATAGGTTAGGTTGGGTTATGTTGGGTTAGGATAGGTTAGGTTAGGTTGGGTTACGTTGGGTTACGTTGGGATTACGTTTGGTTAGGTTAGGTTAGGTTATGTTGGGTTAGGATAGGTTAGGTTAGGTTATGTTTGGTTAGGTTGGGTTACGTTATTTTTGGGTTAGGATAGGTTAGGTTAGGTTAGGTTAGGTAGGGTATTGACCTGTGTTTGACCTGTAGTTTAACCATGACTCAGCCGTGTACCCAAGATGGTGTCTGGGGGGTAAGTGATGATCGTCCTCCTTATTCCCTCTTCCTGGATTCCCTCCCCACCCCTCCTCTCTTCATCCTCCTCCTTCTTCTTCCCTTTCCCTCCCCTCCCCTCCCTCCTCCTCCCCTCCTTCCCCTCCTCTCCGTCTGCTGTGATCTGATTGACGTGTTTTATTATAGAGATTCACACACACACACACACACACACACACACACACACACACACACACACGCAGGTAGCCTGACACCAAACCAACAAATAAGACTTGACTTTTAACTGACACTCGTAGCTGACTGATGGGCTGATTACAACATGGTGGCTGAAGGCTGACACTCTCCCCTCACACCTCCTCCCTCTCCTCTTGCTGTCAGGGCCTTACGAGCTCCTGTCTATGGTAGAGTCCTTTCACGCGGTACGAATCACCGATCGTCCTGGGAAAAGTACACGCGACATTATTAAGGTAGTAAGTACTTGAGGCGTCAGTAGAGTAGTTGATCGTCCTGGGAGAAATATAAATGATAAATCGTCCTGGGAAAAGTACTTGAGACGTCAGTAGAGTAGTTGATCGTCCTGGGAGAAATATAAATGATAAATCGTCCTGGGAAAAGTACTTGAGACGTCAGTAGAGTAGTTGATCGTCCTGGGAGAAATATAAATGATAAATCGTCCTGGGAAAAGCACTTCAGATGGCAGTAGAATAGTAGATTCTCCTGGGAGAAATATAAATGATAAATCGTCCTGGGAAAAGTACTTGAGACATCAGTAAGGTGATATAGCGTCCTGGGAGAATTAATAGGCATTAGAACTTCCTGGGAAAAGTAGTCCGGGTGTCAGTAAGGTAGTAAATCGTCCTGGGTGAAGTACTTGGGATGTTTATTGGCTTGGTACGTGTGTGTGTGTGGCGGACTGGGACATGTTGTTGACCTATATGGCAGGTTAAGGACTGGTTTCATTGAGCTTTGAGTTATGACGTCAGTGGTACCCAAGGGTCAGAGGTCACTAACGGGGTGATTGGGGTCAGGAGGGGGGAGGAGTGTGGTCTTGTTTGTGTTATCATTGATGTGACAGATAACATGTTGATAACGTGTGTTCTCTCTGTAGCCTTGATTGTTATACCTCTGGCAACTCCGTCCGTCTCTCTCTCTCTCTCTCTCTCACATAACCTAACCTAATGTCACTTAACCTAACCTAATCTAACCAAGTTATGAAACTATCTCCTTCTCCTATTACCCACACCTCTTTCATTACTTCTAGGGATCGTTGTAAGGTTATTCTTCGTAGGGCCAAACGGAGTTTTATACAAACACCGCTGTCCTGACTAATTCTTCGTCTAGTAATCCTTCTGGTCCTTAACCAAAAACATCTGTAACAACTTCTGCACTTCTTTTCCTCCTCTCTTCCGACCTGATAACTCTATAGCCAACTCTCCCCCTGACAAAGCCAACCTCTTTGGCACCTTATTCTCCTCTAATTCCACCTTTGACGATTCCCACTCAGTCCCTCCTACTCCTGCTCCTCCTACTGAACCTATGCACTTTCCTATAATCTCCACTCGTAGGGTTGTTGGTATGTTATCCAGGTTGGATGTGAGTAAGGCGCATGGACCGGACGGAATACCCCCTCGTGTTCTGAGGGAGTGTGCTGAAGCCCTAGCCCCTGTGCTTGCTCGTCTCTTTCGCCTCTGCCTCAAAACCTAAACTTTTCCTTCTTCTTGGAAGCATGCCTTGGTTCAGCCCATCCAGAAGAAGGGTGACCATTCTAATCCCTCTAATTATCGCCCCATTGCCCTAACTTCATCCCTCTCTATGATTTTCGAAACTATCTTGAACTCCCATTTTCTCCGTCTCCTTGAATGCCTTTCTCTTTCGTCGGATCACCAGTATGGCTTTTGCCAGGCGAGATCTACTGGTGATCTGCTCTCCTACTGCACCCATCTTTGGTCATCCTCTCTTAGGGATTATGGGGAAACTTTCGTCGTGGCCCTCGACATTTCCAAAACATTTGACAGGGTATGGCACAAGTCTTTGCTGTCTAAACATCCCTCTTATGGTTTCTCTCCCCCACTTTGTTTTCTAATCTCCAGCTTCCTTGAGAACCAAACCATGGCAGTTGTTGTCGAGGGATCGATCTCTCGCTCTTTCTCTACCAATAGTGGTGTCCCACAGGGTTCTTTTTATCAATGATTTACTTCACACTGCAACTAATTCTATCCATTTTTACGCTGATGATTCTACTCTTCACTCTTCTTCACATTTTCCCCTTCCCTCTAACTCTCAAACTAGATCTGTTTCTAGAGCTGATATCATTACATCTATCAATGCTGATCTGTGCAGCATCTCCGAATGGGGAGGTAAAAGTTTGGTTAAAGTCAATTGTAATAAAACTCAGTATTTACCAATTACATTTTCTAAATTGGATGATCTCCCACCAATCACATTTCAGGACGCTATCATTCTGCCAAATTCTAAAATAGATATGCTAGGCCTCACCATTTCCTCTAATATGTCATGGAAGCCACACATCCTAAAGCTGCCTCCCGAAAGTTGGGAATGCTGTACAGATGCCGTAGCTACTTCACTCCTGGGCAGTTGTTTTAAGTTTAAAACTTGCAGTACTGCTCTCACATCTGGGGTGGCTCTTCTTCTGTCCAACTGTTAGATTGGGTGGAATCAAAGGCATTTCGTCTTATTAATTCTCCTCCTTTAGTTGACAATCTTTCTTCCCTTTCTCTTCACCACAATGTTACTTCACTCTCTCTCTCTTTTACAGGTACTTTAACGGGCAATGTTCGGTGGATTTGGCATCCTGTGTACCGCCGGCAAGGCCGTGGGCTCATAACACTCTTTCCTCACACAGCTAAACTGTGGAATGCTCTGCCTTCTTCTGTGTTTCCATACTCATACAATCTGTCTCACTTTAAAAAGCTGGTTTTCCGGCATCTTCGTGGTGTAGATTAATATAACCTTTTTCTTTTCTATTTTGAATTTTTTTCTGTTCTTATTTTTTCGCCCCCTAGGCCCCGTTGTGGGTCGTTCGACCTGTGCCCGGTTGGGCTAATTCCCGTAAAAAAAAAGAAAAAAAAGAAAAAAACTAACGTAGCCTCACCTCACCTCACCTCACCCTTGTTATATCTACACACAGGGATGCTGGGGAGTATGTGCTGGGGTCTGAGAAGGACCTTGTGGCCACGGCCAGAGTCCAGAACGCCGGGGACGACGCCTTCGAGGCCAAGCTGGTGGTGCAGGTCCCCAGGGGCGCCGCCTTCACCAAGTTCCTCCTCCTGGCCAACACCGCCGTGGATGTCACCCCCATCTGCTCCTCCAACACCAAGGGCGACCTAGAGGAGGTGTGTGTGTGTGTGTGTGCGTGTGTGTGCGTGTGTGAGTGTGTGTGTGTGTGTGAGTGTGTGTGTGTAAATAATAATAATAATAATAATTAACGGTTTATTGAAAAAGTTCTGCAGCCCGAAGGCTGAAAATATACATTGGGCATAAATGACTTATTACATACATTGGTGGTTTAACAAAAGCCTTCATTAGAGAAAGGTAAAGGAACATACAGTGAACATACAGATTAATGTAGGTGTTGAACAGCAAAACGGAGTGTAGTAACTCCCTCCCAGATGGTGTGTGTGCGTGTGTGTGTGTGTGTGTGTGTGTGTGTGTGTGTGTGTGTGTGTGTGTGTAAGAGAGAGAGAGAGAGAGAGAGAGTGGAGAGACATTAGCCAGACAAAAGTGAGAGAGAGAGAGAGAGAGACAGAATATAATGAACACTAGAGTGCAGACTATGAAACAATACAAACCCATTAGTAAACTTTTAGGTGTACATGTACGTGTATACAAACGTCCAGGTGTAAATGTAGGTGTAAACACAAGTACACACAACAGTCTGTGTACCCCAGGTGGTGTGCGACATGGGCAACCCATTGCCAGCGCTGACGAACGTGAGCCTCGAACTGGTGTTCCAACCTAAGCATGACCAGGTGAACGACACAGCCCTCGAGTTCCACGTGAGGGCGACCTCCACCAACCCCGGGCCGACCTCAACACCTACGACAACCACATGGCCCTCGCCCTCCGGTCACCGTCAAGACCCTCATTGTAATAAAGGGTGAGTCTCTATGGGGTTAGGTTAGGTTATATATATATATATATATATGAGATAAGGAAAATAATTATGTTTTTGTGAATATTTCTGTTGATCCGAAGTTAACTTCAACCACCACACACTCACCTCTCCCTCTCCTACAGGATATCGTGGCCAGACGGACCCTTTGACTACAACGCCTCCTCTACGGGATGGGCCTGGTGGGTGAGGGGCAGCATCACCCACGAGAAGATCGGCCCCAGGTCACCCATGTGTGAACGTCACCAACAGGGGCCCCTCAGACCTGCCCTCCGCCCTCATCTTCCTCCTGTGGCCCTAGGACTCTCTGATGACCCACTACTCTATCTCCTCGATGCTCCTGACGTGGCCCAGCCAGCCGTGTGTCATTCTGTACCTGACGTCAACTACCTGGGCCTTGGTGAGAGAGAGAGGGTATTTAGGGTACCATAACATTATATTAAGATGCCTTATGACAATTGATACCCGTTGTCTGTATTCATGAGCGTATGTATGTATGTATATATGTATATTTAAATATATTGTTTATTTTTCCACAATATATCCACTTTTCAATAATGGACTATATCATCTCTGTTACATTGGTCACTAGTACGGTGTTACTAGTACGACCAGGTATTACTTTGGCTAACTAACAATGTATCTCATAAAAGTATCTGTCCACACTGTGTAAAACATTATGAGACCATGGATGATAGATGTTGGGACATGCGTCTTGGGATATGCGTCTTGGGACATGCATCTACTCTGGGATATACAGTAGTTTTATGCAATGTGTATTTCGGTATAAGTAATATAATGTTTGGTTAGTATGATCAGTGTGCCACTGCCATACATGCCAACCCTCCCGGGACACACTGCCACACATAGGATAGACTTATAGCAACGGATTTAAGTTGGATACAGGATAGGACTCGTAGCAACGGATTTAAGTTGGATAAGTTTAGGTTTAGGAGGGAAATAGGAAGGAACTGGTTCACAAATAGGGTGGTGGACGAGTGGAACAAGCTTACCAACTCTGTAGTAAGTGCTGGAACGCTGGATAGTTTTAAAAGGAGGCTAGATAGATTCATGGATGATAGAGAGTGGTAGTAACTCTCGACAGGAGCTGCCATGCACAGGCCAACCGGCCTATTGCAGACTCCTTATTGTCTTATGTTCTTATGCCAACCCTCCCGAGACATCACCAGTTGGCTGTAGCATTTCGGAAGTCACCAGACCCATCCTGGCAGATATTTTTGGAGATACTGTACATAGACCTAACCTAACAATATACATAGACGGTGCAGGTATACTAACAATATACATAGACGGTGCAGGTATACTAACAATATACATAGACGGTGCAGGTATACTAACAATATACATAGACTGTACAGGTGTATATGCAGTACAAATAGACAATAGACTAACTCAACAAAGCCATCCTATGTTTGTTTACCTAACCAAACTTAACCTAGCCCAACCTAACCTAACCAAAACCTAGCTAACCCACAACTAACCTAACCCAACAACCTAACTAACCCAACAACCTAACCTACAACCTAGTTCAACCTAATCTAACCTAATCTATCTCTGGTTCCCACAGGTTGATGAATCGACGTATGACCACTTGACTCTCGGATCAGACCACTCGGTAGATGGCGACACGTCCTTCCTCCTCCCACGACATCCCAGAAGAGGAGGAGGAGGGGGAGTGGAGAAAGAGGAACACCACCGCAGGAGACGCCACGAACAGCGCCACCTAGGAGCTCAGAACCAGAAGGAGGAGGAAGAGGCGGAGTGGGCAGGATTGGAGGAGGAGTTGTCGTGTGGGCCAACTAACTGTACCAGAGTGGTGTGTTCTGTCTCCCGCTCAGAGCCACCGAACATATCGTCGTCCACGTCAGGTCCAGGCTCTGGGTCGATACCATCCAGAAGGTAGGAAGGTCGTCATCCTCGTACCTCACGGGGCCTGGTTGATACCACAGGGCCCCTTGGTATATTGTAGGCTTGGTTGGTACCTTACAGGGCCTGGTTGGATTATTGTTACGAGTTCGCTCCAACCAGAGGGCGAACTCGTAACAATGGTTTTAAATAGGCAAATTTGAATTTAGGCGCGAAATAGATAAACATTGGTTTGGAAATAGAGTAGTGGATGAGTGGAACAAGTTACAAATACCATCATTAACTCGGAATACGATGGATAGCTTCAAACAGGTTGGATGGATATATGAGCATAGGGGTTGGGTGTAAATGGGACCGCCCAGTATGGGATCAATAGGCCCGGCAGCAGTTTCTCCATTCTTATGTTCCTTGTGTTTCTTATTTTAGGCCTGAATAGTACCTTCGGGGCCTGGATGGTACCTGACAGGGCCTAGTTGGTTCCTTACAGGGCCTGCTTGGTTCCTTACAGGGCCTGGTTGGTACCACAGGGCCTGGTTGGTACCTTACAGGGCCTAGTTGGTATCTCACAGGTTAAGTTAGTATTTGGGAGTCTAATCTTCAGGAGAAATAAGCCTGGTTGTAATCTTCAGGTGATCACAGTATTATTCAGGTAAAGTCAACTGTTTCACTTCTAATTTCAGGTGGGCATGCCAGAGGTGAAGATCTCCTCCAGGTTGGTGGTGGTGGCGGGGAGGGTACTGACGGCGGGGGTGGCGGCTGGGCGGCTTGACGGGTGAGGTGGGTGACGTGTGGTCGGGCATGGTGACGACAGTAGTGAGGACGGGACCTGAAGAGCACCGGCGATCTCTTAAGTGGGTGGTGGTGGTGGGCAGTGTGGCTGGGCTCTTATTGCTGGCCCTCTTGTCTACCTTACTGTGGGCGGTGAGTAGTCTCTCTCTCTCTCTCTCTCTCTCTCTCTCTCTCTCTCTCATTTATCTTAATGTAGTTGTCAATTTTGTCATATTTTCTGTTTTTTTTTTCATATTGACTAAATTTCTTTCATCTCTTTTACTACTTTCATAATGAGTCGATTCTTTTCGTTTTATTGTTTTTTTCATATTTTTTCCTTAATTCGCTTTATTCTTTTTATTATTAAAGTTTTATTTTGATTTGATTTTTTTCTCAATAATTATCGTATTTTTCTATATAAATTATGTTATATTTTCATGTTTTTTTTTTTTATTTATTTTTTTATTTTTATCGTTCAGTGAAACCTCCATATGGACTTCTCTCTCGATATAACGAACTTTCCTCTTCCTCTTGTCTGTTAAATAGGGTTTTAAATTAACTGACCTCGATATAACGAACTTTCATCTCCATATAGTTCGTTAGATGGAGGTTTCACATTAACGGACCCTCGATATAACGGAATTTCCTCCACATAGTTTGTTAGATGGGTTCATATCTAACGGACCTCAATATAACGAACTTTCCTCTCCTATAGTTCGTTAGATGGAGGTTCATATCTAACGGACCTCAATATAACGAACTTTCCTCTCCATATGTTCGTTAGATGGAGGTTTCATATTAACGGACCCTCGATATAACGGAATTTCCTCTCTGTTGTCTGTTAAATAGAGGTTTTATTGCATTTCACTTAATCGTTATCATCTTTTTGTTCTTCATATTTTTGTTCTTAATTGTTCTCTTTATTAATGTAAGTATGTCTCCACCAGATGGGTTTCTTTAGAGGAAGAGACCACAAGACAACAGAAACCGAGCCTCTTAATGGTAATGGTTTCTACGGCAATAACGAACACTCGCCTCGGATCTCACTTCAAGAAACCTCGCCTTTCAAAAGTTAACACCTGGACTCAGAATCCGCCTTAGAAACCGTATTCTTGAGGAGAGTTTAAAGCCTGGATATATTTTTAGAAACCTTGTCTTTTTTGTGTTTGTAACTAACCCCCCCCCTCCCACCCTACCAAAAACCCCACCCAGCCTCCCCGAGCAGAAAACAGCTTAGAAACCTCTTTGCTTTGTAAGTGAAACCACCCCTGGGCTTGGAATTATCTTAGAAAACACCTGTAAACAAGAAACCTCGCCTGTAAACAAGACAACTGTAAACACCTTAGAAATTAATAAAATTCCAGGCCTGAGAATTACTCGACTTTATGACAACAATTGACGTTCAAGGATAAAAATTCTTTTGACTCAAGTTACAAGAAATTAAACTAAGCTGGAATTCTGAGGATTAAACAATGAGAAAAATACTTAATAAAAAAATCTTAAGATGTTTTAGAGAAATTAATACAAAATTATCATGAAAACTGTCAAAATAATGACTGAAAATTCTAGACCTTTCTTAGGCCATTGTGAGATATACTGTATTAATACCAGCCATTGTTTTAATGCTGAAAACTGTATTTAGAATATGTAATATAAGTTAATTATTCTGTAAAATTAATTATTATTGTTATTATTATTATTATCTGCATGAAGTGACTTGTTAAATGTATTTGGTGGTGATTTTAACATCATATTTAACAGCTGTGTTTATAAGTAGGACAAGTGTACTTACAACTGTGTCTTTGGCTGTAAGTGTAAAGTGATGTAGTGGAGTTCAAATCATAGCTGTGAATTCAAAAGTGGCTAGTTGAATTTACTGCCTTCATTGTAAATTCAGGTGGCTGAATTCAATACTGCCGCCGCTGTGAATTAAAAAGTGACGCTGAATTCAATTCTGCCATCGCTGTGAATACAAAGGTGACGCTGAATTAAAACTGCCGCCGCTGTGAATTCAAAGTGCCGCGCTGTGAATTAAAAAATGACGCTGAATTCAAAACTACCAGTGCTTCTGCTAAGTGCCACTGAGATGTGAACTGTCTCGTGACCTCTTTAAAGTGCTGCTGTGAGCTGTCTAGTGCCTTTGTGATCTTTTAAAGTGACAGTGTCGTATAATTGAGATCCAGCGGCACTTCGATTGGTCGAGAGCCCCGTTGCGTCAGAAGTTAGCAGGAGCTACCTGATTGGTCGAGCCACGATACGTCATGATTCCATCAAGATTTCCTGTTGACCGAATGACTTGCTGTGTGCGTGTGTGTATGGATGAGGCTGCCTCGGGCCTCCATTCCTGAGACTGTGATTATGTCGGCTGGGGACCATATTGACACATTATCATAAATCAACCCAAGACAGCACACACTATCCGTGCGGGCATGAACGACGCTCGGTAATGCTCCATCTATGGGATGGATACTGAACTAAAGCTTGTAGTCATTGACACTAGCATAGTGTGGCGTGTGGTCGTCATCACGCCCCCCCTCCCCGGCCGCGATTTTTTCCTGAGGGCTTCCGTCATCTAGAAAAAGCGGCAACGTACAATCAGCTGGTGGCGAAATTGCGGATTCTGCGCCCTACACCAACAGCAAGAATTTTGTTCTACCTTGAGCAGTGCTGGCTAAGTTAGGTTGGGTTATTATTTGTTTGCATTAGTATCTGTTACGGTAGGATATGCAATATTAAATAACATGAATGATCGTCTCTTATTCTTCTCTCTTACGGAGTGTTCAGTGGTGCCGCGCTTCAAACACTGCCACGGTGCCTCTTGTTCTACATGACGGAAGCCCTCAGGAAAAACAAAATTTCGCCCCCGCCGTGTGTCCAGTAGTGATGAATTAGTTGCTGCCTCTTGTGTTCCAGAATAAGTTAATAAGAATATATTTAGTTATATGTTTAGAGCACTTAACTGTACAAGCTTGGTGTGCTTCTAAATTATGCCCTTTAGTCTTCCTAGTTGAAATATATTAAAAATTTTACCTGTTTGTAATGACCAAAAAAAAAAAGTAGAATATATATTGTCACTTTCAGGGATTGTATTTGTATTTTTTCCCATATATTTCCTGTAAAGATATTATTAAATTTCATCTTTTTTTCCCGGAAGATTAATGTTTGAGTTATACTTCTGAATCTCATTAAGTTGTGTTCTAGTCATCTTTATTATATACAGATGTATTTCAGTATAGTTTTGTATGTTGTGTTGTAGCGTTATAACCAGCCGTTACTTGTCTGACAGTATAATGTGATACAATGTGTTATATACATTGTATGATTGGAGCCATTATACGAGGAGGAGATAGAGCCGTGGAAACTATACATTGTACAGATAGTATTTAAAGGTTGCAATGTTAAGTTTTAAGTTGTTGTTAAACCAGAGACAACGGATGATTTGGTGTGGGGCTCATTCCTGTGTGATGGTCGCCTCTTGCTCTTAAACTTCCCTTTTTATTCTACCTGTATAAAATTTTGTATCTTAATTCTTTGACTGATCGTGTGTAGTTATGTAGACACATTTTTGTTACATTATGGCATCTGTAAACAATAATCCCATTTATGACAACATTTATTAAGAACTGGCCATTCAGAGAAATATGGATACAGTTCACTGCATTCTGAGCCTGGCGCACTGCACTCGCCGCCTTCACTTCCTCGTCTGGACATGCACTGGGATCGAACTATTGCCCTTAGAAGAGGAACAGAAAACGAACATGACATCCACTCAGCCACTATAGAAAAGAACTTCATTTTGCAGTAAAATTAACCAAGTGTCTCTACTCTGGAAGATGAACTCACCTCTTGTAAAAACAAATGTATTCTATTAAAAAAAATGTATTATTATTCACTGACACAACCGATAAAAAAATACCATAATAATCAGCAAGTAGTTG